AGCCTGAAACCACACAAAAGCAGGGCTCGTGCCGGCCCCTGCCAATTGGTCAGGCTTTGCCTGCTCCACAGAGGCTGTCAGAGCTTGGATATCTTGCGACCACCTTGTAAGTAATGCCCACTTATTTGACCAAGCGCCCGCGTTGTGGCCAGGACTTGTTTGTATAAAGCCTGCCTTGCATGCAGAAGAGTGTCTGAATATGTCTGAAACACTCAATTTGTAATGCGCACGGGCTATTCCTGAACAGTTGGTTGGTTGGTTACTTGGTTTGCGCTTGTTTGCAAAAAGCCGGGGGAGACGTTTTTCAAATACCGGCGCCAAGCAGTGTTAATGTCCTGAAAGATAGGCAAAGCCCGCATTGCACTGACTACTTGTTAGCATGAAGCCCACCCTGCGTGACTAGAGGTGTCTGAAACAGCCTGAAACCTTCCAGCTTCGAGCGCCTACAACGCGTTCCTGACCTGAAGGGCGTTGCTTTGTCGCAGGTTTCGCCAGGAGGTTGCTTTTGGTACAGCTTAAAAGTCACATTCAGCACCTAGTTTCCCATGTTTCGTACACGAAGATGACGGCATAAGCAAAAACACACGTAGGCGCAAGGAGGCGCAAGGGCGGGCGCAAGGGATCCTAAAAGGAAGCCGTGCAACAATAATTTTCGACAACCCCCATATCCTAAACAATGCAAGTTCATGCAAGCTCCCACGAAAACCATAGGGAGGCCCTTGAATCGTTACAGAAGGTTGACCACTGGGGTGGGGAAAGCGGCCGCAGCTCAACCTAAGCTTAGGTCCTTCTTGGGCTGATGTGCTGACTGCGGCTCGGCTGACTTGTAAATGTTCGGGTTTGGAATGCTTAACTCCAGCAAGTCAGCAAATTGACATGACCTTTGGGCTTGTTAGCCATGATCTCGAATACAGGTATGGCCCCGCCGATCTTGGCGATTTCGAGTTATAAGGCTTTCAAAGTTTGGAAGTTTAGGGAGGTTCATGACATGCTCAGTGGGTATGGATGGCACGCACAAAAACTGCAAATCACCTACCAAACCTACCAACCAGTGCGAACTGGATATTATACGGTGTGGGGTTTATCCATGCCAGCTGGTGCAGTCCTTCCACATTTTGCAACCAGTTCCTCTAAACAGTAGCATTGTAGTTTTGCGACGGAATCGGCGAACTCCTGTCCATGGATAGAGCTCGTGCCCTTTGGTTGGTCACATGGATGGCCTTTCAGTTGCCCTTTCCTAGTTGCCACTCTTTCAACCAAGGTGTAACAACGACCATGTGGGTGTGGGTGTTTTTGAGGGCGCCGTTTTCAGGTGGGCTTAAAGACGATGACACCACCCATTTTGGCCCCCTATTTTGAGACCAACCCATGTGATCATGAGTAAAGGGCACCCTTTGCAAAGGTCACACTTGACACAAAGCGACTTTGGCATCCAAGTTTTACCTTAGGTAACAGGCCTGACTCATTTGCACCTGCGTGAAGGATCCCATTCATCGCTGACTTTCTGTGCTGAAAAAACCATGACTCCTTTCCAAGGAAAAAGTGGTTTTCTAAGAGGGCTTGCGCCCGTTCGTGTTTGGCGACTCGGTCTTTTTGGAAACAGGGAATGCGAAAAGTCGAGCATCAGAACTTGGACTTCTTGAGGCGCATAAGGCCCCCCTCTTTCAAAATGGCCCCACATGTCACGGCAAGGCGGGACCCAAAAGCTTCCCTCGCCGCACTGTTGTTTGTGGCTTCATCGCGTGATGTACCGCTTAAATGGGAAGTGCACAAATTGCAGGAACGTACTTAACCATGGATGTGGAAACTCAATTATATGGCCACCTTCTGAAATACCAGTGCAATTCCCTTGAAAATAACAAGGTAGTCCCATTTCGGTATCACAGAAAGGTCTATTTGTCGCAAGCGTGTACTCCACAGTTTGAGAAGGCGTTCTAGTGCAGAGTCTCGCGGTTGCTCCCTGCAATGGTTGGAATTGTGTGGCCGTGGCTGTCAAGTGAACAGCTATGTCGCTGTCTTTGACAAGGACTTGACAACCGCCCCTTCACGGATTGGTATTTGTTGAGATGACCTTTCTTCTCCAGGCTTGCAGTTTGTTTTCAGAGGGGGGTCCCTTGAAGATTCGGTGCTGTGCTCCCTGGTCATTTGAGACATGTTCAATGACAGGGTGCGCTCCCAGAAGCACGAAGTTAACACTAGGCCTGGCATCTCTGCTGATATTGTTTCGCGCTTGAGGTTCACATGGACAAGTTAGTTTCCTGTATGAGCTATTTGCGGACCTAGCAAAGCTGAAGATGCCATGAGAACATTGGTATGATTGCGAACCAAAATCCCATGTGAGTTGAACACACAATGAATACTGACAGTGTGGCAATATGGCCATGGAGCTTCATGGGGAGCGCCCACGCTTGAGGGCACAAATGCCCACGTGATTGATGACCACAACAGGACTGTTTGAAGTTCATGGGCCAACCACATGCTCAACAGCTTGACAAGCACTGCACTTATGCAGATCGTGCAGCCAAGGAGCCAAGAGTCCACTCCAGCACGTGTACAGCTGTACAGGAGGATCCGTTGCTGGCAACCAGCTGGATGTTTCCCAACGTAGGCGAGCGACCCTTTGCCTTAGAAATGGTTTGTTTGCGTGTTGCTTGCCTTTAAACCATCCAACAAGGGGTCCACCATGTTGAGAAGCCCCTGACAAGCAAACCTTCCGCTCATGGAAAACATGAAGCCGGGGGGAGTTCCAAAAAGAGTCCTGGCGGCTTGCTTGCCTTTCCCTTGGAAGGACACGAGTCTGTGCTTTCGGAGGGTACCCATTCTTTGGGGTTTCAAGGACGACCTAAAGTTGGATACATGTTGTTTGCTCAGGACAAGTTCATACCAACAGATACATACCTAGTTTCAGTTCTGACTTAGGCGGTGCGATGAAGCAGCGCACACATGCACACACAGGCCTGTCTCATGGAGCCTTGTTTTTCCATTATTGAGATCCTCAGCCGGGTATTTCCCAATCCCAAGTTTAGTGGGTATTTCCCTCCATACTCTTGAATCGGGTTTGACTAGAATAGGAAAGTCGTGTTTTGGTGCATTTCAGAAGACCCATGTTTTGCTTGACTCACACCCAGCTTACAATGCAAGCAACAGAACATGCGCGAAGTTGTTTCCAGGGCCTCCCCAATAGGGCCCAACACGTTTCTCTGAGTGGGCCGCAATCTCGAATCGGCCCTGGAGAAGCCAGAAGCTCCGGAGAAGCCCAACCCCCTTCAGCCCTGCCCTTCCTGTTCTCCTAAAAAGCGGTAGTTTCAACAACCTGTTTGAGTGTGTCCTTGGAGACTACTCTTTTCGGAGTCAGTTGGGAAGAGGAAGCCCGCGGATTCCCCGAGACAAACCCCGAGCCGCGCCAGGCACCCGGCCAACCTCCGGATCCTGCGGCGCCTAAAGCGCCTCGAGCGCGAGCTGCAGGCAACTCGTGGCGCAAAAACTTGCGTTATTTTCCTTGGGATTGAGGTCCTCCATTTGTTTGTGAGGATTGTGATTTGCACATTGGACATCCAACTATTGTCCCCCCGGTGAAATGTTTGTTTGCATGGGTTTGGTCCAACTTACTAGTCGCCAATGGTCCAATGAGAAGGTCACACACTTGCACTAAATGTCCCATGTCCTTTCAGGAGAGCAAATAGTTTTGACCATGGGCTCATGTCAAGCATGGCTTTGGTACGATTTAGAGCTGAATCCGATTGATGGGTAGAGAGCTTGGACCTGCATCTCCTAACCTGGTGGTTACCTGGCCGCCTCCTGTCACCTGTCGCCAGTTGGATGGAGCCACATCCATGCCCTTCACTGAGATGCCTTGGGCTGAGCGGCTGAGCAGCTGAGCGACAGATGACCACTTTGACCAACCACTAAGTAGCCCCCAACCAGTTATTCCTGTACTGTTGTAATCCTGTGAAAGCTAAGGTGTTTTGCGCGAGGCGTATTTTGTCCGATGCGAGTTGTTATTATGTTCCTTGTTTGTTGATTGTACTTGCTTGACTCATGGCTTGGCAAGGGTGTTGGCTTGCCCCATGCCTGGTGACCGAATCGCCCTTTAGACCCTTTGGAAACAAATGGTTTTTGCATGAAACCTACAAAAGGTTGGACTTGTTGCTCACGGGGAAGAGCAACCCAGTTTGTTTGGGGAGGAATCAACCAGTTTCCATGTTTCCTGACATGCAGTTGCATTGATTGGTGGGGGTGGGAGGGGGTTGCATTTCTCTGGCCAGCAAGCCGTGCTTGCGAGTCAGGTTCGGAGGGAGCCCTTTGATTTGGCCGTTGAACACGCATTTCAGACCAGGGCTTCCGGGGCCTTGGTTACCGCTGATCTGCAGTTGACTTAGCCCGGTACTCTGCACCTTGAACCTCAAGTTGTTGGGAAACTGGATGCATTTCGACCAGCAAAGGGACACAGGAGCTCGCGAGTTGCGCAAGTGGCCGACAGCCACCCAGCTTACTTCTTGTGTGCCTCGCATTTGCCATGGATCGTCTGAGGTTGCGAAGGAAGAGAAAGTGGTATGCACAACCTGGTGATGTGGGACAGAAGGTGCGGCTAAGTACACATGTGTTCGTTATTATGTCATTGCCAGTGACTTAGCTGAGCGTGTGTAAACGGTTGCCTTTTTGGGCGCCTTTACTTGCCCCTCTAAGCAACATGCCGACTTTCAGAAAGGGGTTACACCTGGCCAGAATGTTTCTTCAAATCAGGGCAATACTGGTGAGTTCTTGGTTAGGAAGAAGAAACATCGATAACACATCTCCATTTCCATGTTGCCACCGAATCGCCCCTTAGACCTTTTAGAAACAAATGGCTTTTGAAACCCTTGCATTGAACCTACAAGAGGTTAAACCGTTTGCTCCGGGAAGAGCAAACCAGTTACGACAGTATTCTTTGTCGTTGTCCTTATCATTTTTCCTTATCATTTTCAGGGACTCCACACGTTGTCAACTCCCCGTGACCCCTTGGCCGACAGGCATACAGGCGGTATGCGTGGCAGCCCAGCGGTACTGGGGTCCAAAATTTGTGGAGCTGAGGCATCGAAATGGCCCGACGTGTTTCCTCACTTCCAACTGCAAGTGTCTGGACTTTCGAGACTTGTGAAGATCAATTGACTGTCAAGCAGAAAGTCGATCCACGCGGGAAGTGAGTATTGGAAAGAGCGTACGGGCCCCCGCCCCCCGGTTAGGATTCCTGGAGGCGGTATGCTAAAACTTGCAAGGGCAACGACCACCCTAAGAAACTCTCAGGGTGGTGCTGTTCTAATGCTGAGTTGACACGGTGCATCCAAACTATTGCCCTTGCTGCTCAAAAGAATGAACTGCTTACTGAAACGACGCCCAGCATTCACAATTGAAGACTCTCCTGCACGACGTGAATACGGAGCTTAAAACGTGTCAGTTTCTCCCAACGAAATGCCTCTAAGAATGGCGGCTTTCTTGTTAGGTTCCATGTGATGCTGCGGACGCCCCGGAAGCACTGCAGGCTTCATAGGAGCCCGCCGAGGCCGACCTTCGCGCGCAGCAGTCCTTGCTTTGGCGGACCCTGAGAAGGCGCTTACCTAAACGCCCGGGCATCGCGATACACGCACGGGAGCCGCAGGAAGTTGGGGTCGGCCCTTGAGTTTCATTTTTTTCTCGGTGCCTTAAAGTGAACATTTTGAAGTGTTGGTCAACAATTCTGGGTGAGCTCAGAAGTTGTGGATTATTTGTGCACCATTCCAGATCCCCTGTTGGGCACCGAGAAACAGGCTTTGTTAGGGGAAGATAAAGAAGATATTAGAAAGTTTACCTGCATTGCGTCATTGGTTCGGGGCTGATGACGAAATCACCGCTTTGCTGTTGCCGCCGTTTATGAGCCAATGAGGAGAAGGAGGAGGAGGGGATGCCCCCTAATTTGAGCTGACATAAGAAGTGTGCTAGCACTGTGCTGTTTTGTTTGTTCATGTGTTGACCCCGTATGTCAGAGCTTCTAGGAGACTGTGCACGCGTACATGTATAAAGTGCAGTACATTGCATGGCTTGATGTTTGCCTTTGGACCCTTCTGAACAGAGAGCGACACCTCCACAGGTTTCTACACAATTTGGATGCGCAAAACCTGAGCGTTGCGACCTCGGAGCTCAGTTGGTCAAACGACCGCGGTTTTCTCAAAGGTTCTGGAGAATGGGTGTGTGTGGGGGGCGCAGGCCCTCAGACCATCTCAGACCCCTGTGTACAGCGCTGGGTGGGAAGTGCAAGATTGGGCCGAGGCAAAATCAATGTTTTTTTCAATCCGGGACAGCCTTCCTGGAGGGTGCCTGAAATTCCGCTGATGGCAGGTAACGTTTCCTTTGGTTTTTTTTTTGTGTATTGTTGCTTGGCTCATGTTCCTCAGAGGTGATCGCAAGTGTATGGATATGTCTCGTTTTTCCTCGGATTCCCTTTCCAACAGCCAGAGAAGGATGCCTCATCATGGATCAAGAAGCTGGATTTGCTCGCACCCAGCAAGTCTGTGGATTTTGTGTGACAACTCGCACAATGATCATTGCCCTTTCTGACTTTCTTCCTCTTTGCTCTGCTGTGTGTTGTCTGCGCTGCTCAATCCAACTGTTGGTTTTAGATTTCAATTATGCCCTAAGTGTTCCTGCTGCTCGGGCGTTTCCTAAATGTGATGTCCCTGGGCTGTCATGGGAGTTCTACGTATGTGTACAGGGCGCTTTTCAGAATAGAACCAAACAAGGGGCAACAGAGATGCACCGTGCATATTTGGGGTTGATAAAGATAGGATCTCTTTTGGAACATGTTAGAACTGTGGTGTCATGTTGTATCCTTTTGTGAACCCCCCCCCCCTTTTTTCTAGGGGCTATGTTCAAGAGATGTTGCTGTCAAGCTGTGCCAAGACTAAAACCCTGGATTCATTTCAAGGGTCATTTTGACAAATGCATAGAATGCCAAATACAAGATCGGCCCGCCAAATGGGTTGGTCACTGGTATGGGCAACCAAAGCTCATGTATTGACAGAGTCGTCCGAAAGATCCTTGGCAGGTACCGCCTGGGCGGCTTTGACCCAGAGCTCGCACGGGGGCGCTTCGCCCTGGGGCCGAGCCGGCGGGAGCGGGTGAAGTGGGGAAGGAATGAAGCAACGAGTATGTCTTTGTTTGAGGGGTACCTTTCGGGGTGGTGTAAATGGAAGCGATGAGCTACGCGTTGGATCGTATGCTATCCGAACAGAATCCTCCCTCTCACTGACATGGCACCTGACAGAATGCTTTTGGAGCCCACTTCCATGATGATTGAACTTTGGGTAACTGACAGGAAAGTATGAGTCGTTGGATGTTTTGGACGACATGGTGACGCAAGGTAGTCTATTGCTGGAATTTGATTTTGGGTGCTGCTGTTGGGGAAACAACCAGTTGTCAGAAGTGGCCCATTTTGACGCAGAACCGTTTAGTAGGGATTGGTCATGATGGTCATAGACCATTTGGGAGGGGGATTTTGACAAAGATTCACCTAAAGTGAGCCATGACCATTGCACATGTTTAGGTTCCCGATCCGCTTTGGGAAGCCTGGAAGCAGCTGAGGGATGCCACGTTTGGCTGAGTGGCATCCGTTGGACAACGTCATTTGGCAGAACGTCCGCGAAAGAGGCGGCAAGTAAGAACAGTTTTCTGGATACACTTAGCCAACCCACCGTGGCCGGGTTCAGCCAAGCCCTTGCTCAGCAGCATGTTAAAGCTATTGATCTTTAAACGACTAAGCTTCTTTTGGGCATTGCTGTCCGCAGCCCTTGCCTTCTTTAAACAACCCTTTTGGTTTCCTTTTGTTCCCCGTTTGGCAACTTGTCCACATGTTTGTTTTGCATGTTTCCCCTGTCAACTGGGTATGTTACAACCTACACCTTCTTTCAACAACCAAAACACCCAGCTGTGCTTTTTCCAAAAAGAGGGCCCGTTCATCCGTTCAGGTGTTTGGTTTCCTTCTGGTTTCTCCTTGAACCCATCCAAAAGAGGAAGCTCAATTTTGAGGCACACCCACTTCCGCCACTGTGCCTCAAGGTCACAGCTTCCAGCTCCACTCCAATTGCGCTACACCAGGCCAGGGTCGGTGGAGTCATCCCGTGGATTCGAATCCTGGGGCTTTGGAGTTGATTTCAAAATGGATGTTTTTCCTTTGGTTGCCCTTGGAACGCCGCCAAAGGCTTGGTACAGTCTGGGGATGATTTTGTGTCCATTCTTTTCAGCCACTGGTCTTGTCAACAACCCGCTGTTTCAGGGTCTTTTCAACAACCAAAGAAGGATCCTTGAAAAGAAGAAGGAGTTCCTGTTTGGCAGTTTGACATAGACTGCCTCAAGCTGTAGCTTTATGTACGCTCAGAGGATGTGTGTTCTTAAATGAGCGACGATGAACAGCTGGCTGCTGCCGCTGCTGCCGCTGCTACTGCTACTCATGCTACTTATGCTACTCCTGCTACTCTTGCTGCTCCCCGATTTGAGACAAGTCAGGCCGGTGAGTCTGTGAATGGCAGCCAGCCAGCTGCTTGGCGCCAGGTGGCGTTTTGCGTGCTTGTTTGATTATATGTGGGTACCCTGTTTGGCTTGGTTAAAAGGGGAGTCAAAAAGAAACCTCCCAATTGGTCCCGCATTTTGGGACAAACCCATGTGCGTCTGTTTGTTTGGAATCCTTTAGGCTAGGGCAGGTAGGTGAGGTTTCGTTGCTTTGTGAACATGCAATGCATGCCTGCCGCTATGCCATTTTAATCAAGCCCAAAATGGCCTGGCCGGCCACCGGACCAGACAGGTTCTGACTGGCTGTATCCGTTTTTCCCCCCGACCCACCCTGGACCCCCGTGGGTATCCTACGGTGGTTGGGCCCCTGTCTGGGAGGCCAGCGGGCCCGCACATGGCCCACTTGTTTCGGGAGGCAACCTGCATCAAGTGTATGTGCAATCGGTCACCGGTCAGGTGAGACCCTTGTCAAGGGCATGTCCGGGACACGGACCCGGGAGGAACCCGGAAGACCCAAAGCATTTTAATGTGTGAATATTAGCAGGGACATCAAGAACACGGAGGCGCGACCGTGGATCTCTCGAAGAAAAAGGAATGCTCATTGCTTCGACAAAGCGTTTGTTTGTTTGTTTGTTTGTTTGTTTGTCTCCGCTGGTAGCCGACTAAACGTGGACCACACCGCACCTCGGCGTGAGTTGTTTTGCTTAGGGTTCCCCAGGGGTATTTGACGCCATGCATCTTCGTGTTTGCTAAACAGCACATAATGTTTAATTTTCCCGTAGGAAGCCAAAAGGCGGATAGAACAGTCTTTGACTTTTGTGGATTTTTTAGGGCCTATGGGTTGTCGTTATACTCCTGGGGCCGAAAAGGTTGCTTCTCAGTCTCAAGATCCTCAGAAGTTCATGAGCCCGAACTTGCCCGTTTGGGTCCACCTTGTGTCCTTTGTGCGGCCAACAAGAAGGAGCCCAGTCGGGGTTGTCTTCTAGCAAACTGCGTTGCCTGGGAAAGTTGCACAACACGTGCAGTGTAGCGGTGTAGCGCAAATGTTGCACGAACTCAACTCGTAAAGACACTAACGCAAAAGCCAAACCGACCGGAGCAGTGCGAGATGCAGTCACTCTGCGCAGGCATCTGTGCTAAGTTTGGACCAGTCCGTGGCTCGGGGCCTTAGAGGTCAAATGCGGATGCTCCACATGTTGTGGCCTACAACTGGTGTGATTTTTGGATCGCGGACATCCGAATTCGCAAAGGCCTGTCCACCAACCACTTTTGAGCTCGCTCCCTATTAAAAGTTGTAGCCAGCCGTGGTCTCCTCCAAAAGATGGCTATTTCATATTCAATTGCAACTCCAAGGTTCACTTTGGAACAGAATCAGGAAGTTCTATTTTCCTACCCTGGGGTTGGGCTAAGGGATCAAACAATTTGAATCCTCAAAAATGGGAAGTCAGGGGGACGAGGTTTCCCGAATTTGTTCATATTCATTCGGATACTACAAGGACCTAAAATGATGGAATAGGGTCGTAGCCCCTTTTATTCCGCGGGCTTCCCCAGTGCTTGGACTTCATGCGCACGTTTAGTCAGCCCTGGGGTTTAAGTCATCCTTGTATTTAAAAAGAGACCGTGATGACCGCTGTTTAGGTTTGGTTTCTAGACCGCTGGTCAACTTGAAATTCATACTTGCTTCCAGGGTGACTTTCCCATTCCCCCCATTCTTTCAAGGAATCCTTCATTCCAGTCAATCATCATCAGCTTGGGGGAAACTGCAGCTGTTGGCAAAGAACGGAGAATGACAAGAGCAGCCGGTTGAAACAAGCAAAACCGCTCATGGCCAAGCCAGACCAGACCTCCTTGTTGCTGCTGCGTGCCAAACGCAAAACACGTCTTGCCGAGAGTTTGAGACTTGGGAGTTGCAGGCCTGTGCCTCCTGACTGCTCCGTCCATATTGGTAAGTCCTGTCGCTTCCGTTTTCTTCGAACACAACTCCCCTCCAAATTGTGACCGAACCAGAAAGGGGGTACTGTGCCTCAAAGCATTGTTTGCAGGCGAGTATCCAAAACATGGCTCTCCCTGTTTCTCAACACTGCGGTTGTCTCCTTTAGTGTTCCGTTAAAAAGGCCAAACACAGTCCAACCTCAAACAATTACACACTCATTTTGGTTCTCAAAATTAGGGGACACTCCCCCCCCATCCAAATGGTTGGGTTCATCGTGGTTTAAGACTTTAACAGCTCACATAGTCTGTATATGGGTATGTGTATATATAAACATATATCTTATTTATTATTTACATATGTACATACACATACATATGCATATATATATTTATATATACACATATGTTCACATATGTGCCTTCCCTGGGACCCCCCCAAGCCAAAAAAAGCTCAACAACAGTGGCGAAAAGCTGAACAATCGAAGAAAAAACATGGTCTTCTGGAAGAGGAAAAACCAAGGTCCTATGGAAGCGAAAGAAACCAGTATCTTCTGGTGGACAGAAAAACCAGAGCAAAACAGAAAAACCAAAAAACCAGGGTCCTCATGAAGAAGGGCCCCAAACCAGAAAAACCACAAGAGAAAAGGAAAAAAAATGTCCTCCAGAAGAAGGGTGACCTCCATCATCTATCTCCTAGACCCTGGTTTTTTTATTTTTTCTGGTTGTTTCTGTTTTTTCTGGTTTTTTCTGGTTTTCTGTGTTTTTGTTTCTGGTTTGGGGCCCTTCTTCATGAGACCCCTGGTGTTTTGTTTGTTTCTGGTTTTGCTGGTTTGGGGCCCTTCTTCATGAGGCCTTTTTTTTGTTTTTCTGGTTTTTCTGTTGTTGTTCTTTCTGGTTTGGGACCCTTCTTCATGTGGACCCTAGTTATTGTTGTTTTTTGTTGTTTGAAGGGATAGATTTGAACAACCCAACAAAACTCAGGGAAAACCAAACAACAGAACACGGGCAAAAAACACCAAGACCAAGCCCATTTGGCAAAAACCGACGCTTCTCCTCTGGGTTGTGTTTTGTTGTTTTCTCGAGTTGTGTTTCTTGGCATATCCATATTTTTGGGCAGGTTTGGTAGCGCCATGATTGATTGAGCCTTCTTGGAGCCACAAAGAATGGGTGTGACCAGTGAACTAGATGTTCAATGTTAAGTTGGAATTCAACACTCCTTTTCAAGCTCCTGATGCAGCTCTTTTGAAGGCTCCTTACTGAAGGCTCCTGGTCCAGCTCCTTTTCACACTCGTTATAAGGCTCTTTGTACAAGGCTCCGTATAAAACTTCTCATAAGGCTCCTGTAAAGCTGCTTGTCGGACTCCTTTTAAAGCTCCTTATACAGCTCTTCTACGTCATGGCTCCATAGAAGGATCGCAGTATAAAGCTGCTTGCAAAGCTCCTTTTGAAGCTCACTTGGGTGCTTATAAGGCTGTTTGAATTTACACGACTCATCATAAAGCTCTGCTTAAGGCTCCTTAAAGGCTCCTTGTACAATTTCTTGCACAGATGCTTGCACAGCTCCTTTAAAGGCAAAGTTCTTATAAAGCTCCTTATACTCCTTGAAAAGCTGCTCGTGGGGCTCCATGTACAGCTCCTGTTAAAGCTCTGTAAAAAGAACTCCTTATAAGGCTCATTATACCAAATTGGACGCGAATTGAGGTTTAATCAGTGTTTACAGGAATAAAGTCTGGTAGGATTTCTATGTTGAATGAGCATGGAAAGGAGAAGCTTTCCATATGTGATGTGAAACTAACATTAACTAGCAGAACGTGCAAGTAGTTTAATAGGGCACGAGTTTCATTAGACTTCCATCTTCAGTTAGAAACTACGTAAGTAAAGCGTCCTATCCATGAATAGAACTTAGTAAGGGAATAGTTCGACTAAATTTGGTGTATCAGTTAAATAAGGCTTAAATCGACATCTAGTTAGAATTGTAATAGAATTGTAATAGAATTGAAGAACAAAACATGTGCAGTTGAATGTCTATTCTAACTGAGGATTAAAGTAGGAAGTACTTGTCGGCCTTAATGGAATTTGAATGTCTATTCTGATTGCTAATTTGAGTAGGAAATCCTTTCCTAACAGGACTTTAATCAAAGTCAATTGCAGTTTGGCAAGCACGTGGAAAGGTATATGGATAGCAGTGAAGCAGATTTGGAAATGTGGAGGATGGCAAATGAGCAAATGTGCAAAGCTATGGTAGCTTTTGAACGGACTTGCAAAAAGCGAAGATGTGCAAAGGAGGAAAAGTGGATCATGGGTGGGGTGTGAGCATACATATATATATATATATTCATAGCAAGTGCGTGGGTCCTGGGGGGGGTCCCGGGGAAAGGGGAAGCATATATATATATATATATATGTGTGTATATATTTGTATGTGTGTATGTGTGTGTGTGTGTTTGGCAGGTTCTGGCGCGGGCCCTCCAGGCGAGCGAGCTGCCAGGCGTGCGTATTTGACGACTCGCAAATGGTTTGCGTTTGGCGTCAGCTTCCCGGAAGGATGGGCGAGGTCCCTGATGAAGGCTCCTTTCAAAAGGTTCCCTGATGTTCAGTCTGCGAATTATCAATATTTGCCCATAGATGTGTTTTGAATTTGTTTTGGGGTTGACTAAGTATATGTTGGGTCCCCAGATTTGATTTTTTGGCCTTTGGACGCCCTTTTCCCTTTCTAATTGGTGGATTTCTTTAATAGGAATGGTCAATCCCAAAAAACCATCCCTTTCACTCCCAGGGTGACTCGGCAGCTGGGATCTGGAAAATGTGTGCGTGTTTCCCCATACAGCAAGAAGCTTGAACTTTTGCAGCGGGATCAGACCGCCCAACCCATTGGCAATTTGCCGACAGGAGGAGCAACCCAGGTGAAAACAGTTGACCTAGTGACACCGTCCTCGGCAAGTTATGCCACAGCCAAGTCCAAAACCTGTCCCGATCCGCAAAGTGAACTTATTTCAAGGCCATTCATGGAGTGAGAAAAGCAATGGCAGCGCTTCTCTCTCAATCTCTCTGTCTCGCTCTCTTTGTCTTCGCTCGAAGGTTGCACGGGAGTGTTTGAGAATTGCAAATGCAAACAACAAGGAAGATATACTTATGACGAGGAGAACCTGCAGAAGGTCAACCAGGAGAAGGTGCAAGGCTCAAGCAGCAGAATAACTGCGCTTGTGGAGGGATGACCTCCCCGTTTTCGGCCAGGTGCATCTCTCCGGGGTTAACATGTTTCCTCGGATAGTTGCATTTTGACAATTGCATTTTACTGGTACTCAACAATGAGGCAACAATTGAATATGCATGCGTATGTACAATACGGTGGATTGACGAGACTCTGTGCCAGCTATCTAGTAGGATGCATGAGGCCCTATGAATACGGGGACAAACTACCTTCTGCAGAATTTGCCATCCACTGTATGTAACAAGCTGCAGTTCTAATCTAACTTTGCACTTGCTAGGTTTCTTCATCAATTCAGTCAAGGACCAAACAGATTGAACCGTTTTTCGTGCCAGTCGCAGGTGGTCAGTTCCCTTAGTCAAGTCCTCGCGGGAATCAGAACTCAGCCTGTGGGGGTAGCTCTTCCAGACGGCAGGCAGCAAAGAGCTGCTGCAGGAGCTAGGCGCACATTCGGGCCTGTGAGCCACAGGGAAAAACGAGCTCGGTACTGAAGGTCCTTCGATGAAGGTCCTTCACTTGGCGTTCTTCCTATTTGCAGCAACTGTGAGGTTTATGGCCGAGAAGAGGTTGTTTTGTCCTTGGGTGGGGTCCCCTTTGATCAGAAAGACCGAGAAGGGTAAGGAAGACTTCTCGTGGACCTGTGTATCCCTTTCTGAACTTCTTTGCGACCACCTGTCACAGGTCCTTTGATTGTGAGTTGAGTGAAAAGGGCATCTGTGTTCCAACAACCACCCAGATGTTCAGTGGCCCCCTTTTGCCAGTCTTTGATTGAATTAGTGGTCCCCCTCTAATGAAGATTGTCAACCCAAGAAAGGGTTCCCTTTTTATATCAGGGTCACTGGGCAACCAGGACAAGGGAAGTTGACAGAAGGGTCTTGGAACACTACAGCCCTCTTGAAAAGGCCGGCAGCTGTCCATGTCCAGTGACTGTTGGAAAGTATGTCAAACTGTTTGGTGGCTTTAAACATCACACGTCAAAGGAGGTTCCTTCAAGTGAGTGATGGCAGGTGAACATTCTGCCAAAGCCGCAGAGTGTTGCGTGACTCCTCTGGAAAAGCAGAGGCCGGACTCGGGAGCTTCCGGAAAGGCTGACCCGACGCAAAAGGCCAACGCAGTCTTCGGTTTGATTGGATTTGGACTCCTTTGTAGTGGTTTCCGAAAAGGGAATTTGGATTGGGATTGGCCAATCCTCCAGTTTGAATAGCCAAGTCTTGGGAGTCTTATACGGGATTAAGTCCATGTCGATGCAGACAAGTGCCCAGAGTGCACTGGCAGAATGGATGATACTTGCAAGTACTGCCTGTCTTGGCAATTGGGAGGCCAGCTTCCGTAGTGTTCATGGTTTGACCATGTATCCATTGGTTCAACAGTCTATTCCACGTCAATGTTTGTTTCCGTGCAATTTCTGTATGCACATGAATAACGCCTATTCCATGGCAGGATGCATACTTCTTGTGAACAAGTCTGGAATTGCACTGTTTGGCTGCTCACAAGAGTGGACACGAATGGATGTATTTTTTAAGGGTCCAAATTCATGTTTCGACATATCCATTTGTTGGTTCTGCCTAATGTGTGAGCACCAGTTCTCTTGCAACTCCATAAAGCTGCATCACACATCCAGCCCCATCAAGGGCTGCCATACCGCACCTTTGAACGATACAGTTCTCTGAGTTTCATGTCAATAGCGGTCACATCATTGATATTGCCGATTGTTATTTTACAGGGCACGGGGTCCCCAGAACCCACGGTTCCCCTTCAGCCCCGCCCAGACACAGAGCCGCACTGGCAATAATGCTGTATCTGCACAGATACAAAGATACAATTGTGTGATACATGCCAAGAAGTGTATGTATATATATATATACAATATGCATGGCTATGTATAATTCTGTGATCATGCGAATGTCAATATCAGTAAACATGTATGTAGATGTATTGATGAGCAGAACACATGGATGTTTGGATATACGTATACAAATACATGGGTATATATATATATATACATATGAGTACAGCAATCCAGGTACACTACATTGACATGCTATGTAAACTAGTCGGATTTCCACCTCCCAGCCCGTGCCATGGCGCTGAGGGCATTGTTGGCGCTGAGCCGCGTGACCTCCGCGCTGGCGGAGGCAAAGCTCGGCAGCGTGCGGCTGCTGATGGCCTTGGAGGCCTTCGAGGTCTCCCTGATTGGTCAACTTGGATGGAAACCCAACCCAGTCAATTTGGTTGCGTGTTCCCCTTTAAACTCAACCAACCCAGTGTTCCCCTTTAAACTCCAATTGGGGAGAGTGGGGTTTTGAGCAATGTGGCGGAACCAACCCAAAAAGGATGCCCTTTTTTACCCATAGCCACTGCGCATCTGGGCAAGAGGCATTTTCGGGGTGACTTGGTTCGGGGCTTTCCTTTTGCCAATTGGATGGGCCGCCTCTGTGTTCGAGCGAAAGGGTTCGCCATTTGATGGCAAGGCCAAGCGCATTGTCGATTGTTCGCCAACGTCGGTTTCTCTTGGTAGGTGTCTTCATTGTTCGGATCAGGCCTCTAGACTCCAAATGTGGACTGTTGTTTGGCCAGCGCACTCGGTCAAGTAAGGATGTCTTAGCAGCGCCCAAAACCCCTGTTGGCCATTGTAATAGGTGTCATGGTTCTATCCAGTTCAGAGCCCCGCACGGCCGAGTGCTGCACTCTGGACTCAGGCTGTGAGTTAGCGGCATACAACTCAACCGTGGATGGATCGCCCGATGATCCCCTAAATTTATGGGAGGACAAAGCCCAGCGATGCCTTCAGCTACAGGGATTTCTAGGGGGAATTTAGCGAAAACCGTGTTTGGTTTGGACATAAAACGTTCATAGCCATGGTGTGTGTGTGTGTGTCATGTTGCTCTGGCATGTTTGGTTTTCATGGAAAGCGGCATGCTGGCAACTATGTTGAATGAACCCAAATATAATTACGGGCACTTGGCGATCCTATATCAGACTGGACACATTTGAACCGATATACAACATATATTTATAACTAAGTCATATATATATATATATGTATTTGAGCTCTACTTGGTTTTGATGGGTTACGGTAAGGCTTGTAGAACCTTGATACTGTAAACCCCATATAACTCTAAAACTGGGACGCCCCGAGATTGTATACAAAGCCGGGGCTCCCATGAAGCACGTTTGTTTGCACCCATCCTCTACATAGCCATGTTAGGTGTCTGTGGTATTTGTTCATATGTGTCCATAAAACCATTGGCAGGTTGTTCAACACAAACCAACCAACAAGCGAACAAGCGAACGAACAAACAAACAAACAATCAAACAAACCAACAAGCTACGGACGGGCAGGACGAATGAACTAACAAAGCACGACCAAGCACCAAAAACAAGAAGGAACGAACAAAACAATTGACCATGTTGCGTTCGCATTGGGTGAAGCTTTCCGCTAGGTGCAGATGCTCCGCGCGGAAGTTGGGGAGACGCGGTCCGTGAGGCCCAGGGCATGGCTGGGAGGCCCAGGCGATCGTCAAATGAAGGGGAGTGAAGGGATTCTGAATTTTGGGCCTCGGTGGGCCTAAATGGGCTCTTGCTATTCGAAATCTGTATGTGAGATGAGGTTCCCCTTGACAGAGCGATGTCTTGTCTTGTCTGTCCGCATGAGTATTGGGCCTTGCATTTCAAACACCACAAAGGACTGAACCAACGCCTGCAACCCAGCCAATGCTGGGGGTTGGCGACAGGGGTGCTCATTCGACGTCCCCGTGTTCGCGCTGCCCATCTAGCCTAGCTGACGAATGAGAGGATTAGGTGGCGCAGCTTGCGTCTTGATCTCACCGCCATCCCTGACCACAATCTCACTCAAAACTGATGCTGCCTCCTTCCACTCACGCTGCCTCAAACTCTGCGGACGGATCTTCAAGAGCACTTTGTGATCCCGAGTGTCTTTGGCGACCGCCAGTTGAACGGATTGCTCCATGTCAGCTGCGCTGAGAGAGACACGTGAAAAGGCACGAACGTTGTGAGCTTGGCCTGGAAACCAGTTTCTATCATCAAGACTTGAGCCGCGTGCCCGCCACCGTCCATCAGGGCGCGCCCAGCGGATGAGTCTCGCTGGCTGGCACTTTCGACTTCCAGATCTGCATGGCCGAAAAGAGTTCCTTCCCCAGAGTGCTGTTTTTTGTTGCGCAAAAAGGTGTGGCAGCTCTAATCTTCTAGCTCTCTCATGTCTCGATCGTGCTTGCTGCACTACTTTCACGACTATTCGCGGCTGAGTGGTCAATTGCTGCGCCTCCTACTCCCGGATTGAATCTCCGCGGAGCTCGGCCATGAAGGCAAGTTCCGACATCAGGCTGTCGCGAGGTGTGAGCTGCGGCCGCGCTGGATGCTGAAGGCGCTTGAGCCGGGGCTGCAAGGCGAGCCTTTCTGCCAGCAACCGCTCCTGCCCACCCATTATTGTTCCCTAGGCTACCGCAAGATTGACGAGCAACATGCCGGCGACATGCACTGCCGACCACACTGTATGCAAACATTGCTCTGCAGCGAGAAACGCAGTGAATGTCTCTTTATCACATGCTGGAGTAGAAAGCCGTCTGCCATCCACGCGTCAGCACTACCTGCTGCCAATCTCTCAAGACACAGAGCTCAGCTGCCTTTGCCACAGGTGTTCCAGGAGGGTCTAACTGCTGGGGAGCAGGGGCCAGTTGGGTCGGGCCACATTCAGCTGCCTTTGCCACAGGTGTTCCAGGAGGGTCTAACTGCTGGGGAGCAGGGGCCAGTTGGGTCGGGCCACAGGTATCCTTCCCACCTGCCCTTTTTCTTGCTCTGTGGTGTGGCTTTGCGGGTCTCCATAAGTATCCTTTTTGGGTCAGTTTGGTTCTCGTTTGCCAAGAAGACCTGTGCCGGACCTATTTAAGCATTGAACCAATATTGTTCAAGCATCCTATATTGGGTTTCCCTTTTAAGGCTTCATTGTCTCGGTGTTGAAACCTATCTTTGCCCCCCCCCCCAAAACAAAAAAACAAAAAAACTGAATAGACCCTTTCCGTGGCGGTATCCCCTCAAACTAGAACCTTCCAAAAAGGTCCAAAAAGATGTGTCCGATTTGGACAAGCACCCCTGTCATGGGATGCCGAATGACAGGGGTATGTCGTGTTTTAGCGGATATCATTTACTGTTCTTAGCAATACACCGGCTTATTTGGGGATGGTGCCATGACTGTTCACTCGTAAGACGTGCGAGTTGGTTAAGTTCCAGAGCTGGCCTCCCGGAAGTTTGGAAAAGTCCTGCCTATAATCAATGCGGGCTATTTGGGGCCCATGTAATTTTAACTGTCAGGAGAGATACTGCTGGGAAGGCAACTTTCCTGTACATGGGACCCTATTTCAGCTTCCAGGTTTGTTTTGGGGAGGGTACATTACCCAACCACGGGGAAGAATTTCCAGCTTAGCGCCCCATCGCCCAGGCCCAGGGCGCTGCTGGCGTACCTTCGCATGGCAAAGATCTGCGGGGGGGACAAAGGCGCTGAAGTCAGTGCGTTTTGGAGAGACTTTGGAGAGTGGACCAAAATAGGGATCCCCCACAATGGCAACGGTGTCCGTTTTGGTTTTAACCCTACATACCAGAGGGGGGTCCACCACTTTGAGAAGCTGGGGGGCAGAAGCTAGTAGTGGACAATCCCAGCAATAAAAATGTGGCTGACCTCGTGTTTTTTTGTATGGTTTCGAGTAGACTCCAAAGGGAAACCAGGTATTGATGATGACTCAAATGAGTGTTGCCTTAAAGGGACCTAGTCTTGCTTATTGGGTGGTTCTAAACATGTGTTTGATTGGTCATTGTTTTCTAACACCAAGCGTGGGCTTCTTTCGCCTCCCTCTGAAAACTGGCTGGACGGGAGTTGGATGACGAAGAGTTGAGAGGAGTCAAATTCAAGCCTTGAGTTGTCGGTGGAGGGTTGACCCCAAGCATGAATAAAGGCCTGGGGTATTCAGTGCGACTTCTACATGTTTCTAGATATACCCCTTTGGTACAGATTGGCGGCAGATTAACGTGTTTGAGATGTTTTGGGGCGAAGAGTCAGAGGCGGACAGCCAACCGACCAGTGAAGGAAGAAGCGGCTTTCGCTGATTTCCGTTGCCTTTGCTTGGCAAAAAAGCTACAACGCGCAAAGTGGTTGATTCTGTGCTTGGCGTGTATTCCTGTTGACTTGCCTGTTTGTAATTTGGACGCGCACGCCAATCTACTGCCAACACACGGATGCTCAGTTTCTCCACGGCCACCTGATTTCTGGTGAAGGGAATCTGGTGTGAACTTACGACCAAATACACAGCTGTAAGACAAAGACCATGCGCGTCAGAGACAAAGACAAAGTCGCGAGCTTCGTTGCCCTTACCCCTATTTTGCTTGTCACTTTGCTTTTGATGTGATCAGCGGGGCCATAGTTCTTCGTAGTTCCTGGAGGTATGCTTTCTTACATTTCACAGACTCTCATGACGGGCATTGATGCTGACCAAAAGAAACCTTGAATGTATGTTGCTAGCAGGCTTTGTAGGAGTACCTTGGCACTTCTGCTGACATGTTGCTGTTTTAGAGTTGATGTTTACGTGTTACTAGTCTCGGCTTTGTGAGTAAACTGTATGCCTTTTTTATTGGCAGGTTGCTTCACCATTAGAGTCAAGGACCAAGAGTTTCAACTTGTTCTGGCCAGTCAGCTGAGCAGGTAAGTAGAGTTGATGTTTACGTGTTACTAGTCTCGGCTTTGTGAGTAAACTGTATGCCTTTTTTATTGGCAGGTTGCTTCACCATTAGAGTCAAGGACCAAGAGTTTCAACTTGTTCTGGCCAGTCAGCTGAGCAGGTAAGTCGCAAAGTGGTGTATTTGTTTGGGCGGATGTTCCACATTGAAAACAACACCACTTGTGACCTCGCTTCCTCCCACCACCATGTCAAATACTATTTTCGGACGGACCCTGTGGTTCATCTATTTCCCTCACAAACTCACAGACTGACAAGCATCCGTCTCGGTCTATCGCAGACAGCCACGCTCGCACAGCCAGCGCCCAGCCTCCGGGCCGCAAGAGTACATTGCGAGTAGATCCCAGTGCCACAAACTTTGCTGTTGCCCCCGGATTTCAGTGAAACCTAGCGGAGGGGCAACAATCCGGTCCGTTTCTCCCACATGGGAACATGCCGCAATGGTTTGGCCCAACCCGACTGCCCAGTTCCCAGGCTTCTAGTTGGTATTTCAAGGGACACTCGCCAACAAACAGTAGGGCCCACTGGCCAAGGCGTTGCTGACCCCGGAAGTAGAACCAGGCGGATCAGTAGTTCCTCAAGAGCGAAGGATCCCTTTCAAAAGGAGACACCCCCTACCGATCAATGGGTCTGAAAAAACTTGGTAAGTTGTGCCCACGGGTATATTATTATGATGTGTGTGTGTGTGTTCTACATGGGTCGATAGTGCATGACTAAACTTAGGGGTATCATTCCATTGGAGATGTATGGTGTTTGTGTTTCATGTACCAAAGAGCACACATGAAATGTAACATGTGTAGAAAGCCCCGCGATGTTGCATGATTGTAGCAAGCTTTGCCGATGTGTTAGTGGCCAAGAAACGGTGTGATATGGTGTGGATGAGCATCACAAAGGGATTCTATTTGCCTTAGCCATTACCATGACCCTCACACGGGAAAAGAAAAAGACAACATTGACTATATCACGCCTTCCTTCCTCACCCCGGAAGCTGCTGTTGTGCTCGATCAGACCCCTTGTGAAAGGTTGTGGGGGGGGGGGGTTACGGGGGGGGGTTACGCACATTATATGAAGGTATCTCAAGTTTGGATCGGTCTTGCCTTATTCTTTTTCTGCTGCTTGGATAGCCATCTCGACTAGTATGCAGGCTCTGAGGTTGTCCGACATTTCGGCGTGCATGTTTTGGCGGTACTCTTTTGGGCGCGTTATTTTCAGGAAAACAAGCAGGGGGACCACCATTTTTGTTTCGGGGGGTCCCGTATTCTAAGATGGGAGCCTCCAAAAATTGTTAGGTTCCTTATTGTTTCCCTTTGAAAAAGGCTCAACAAGGGGCAGCCTCCAAAAAAAACCGCCCATTTGAGGTCTTTTTACGAGACGGCCTTGAAGCCAAGGCTTGCCCAGCTGTTGCAGATCGGCGCGGATGGCAGAGCCTTGCAAAGCATCGGAAAGCCTCGCCCACAAGCGGTCTCAATCTGGGTTTAGGGTTTAGGGAACTTGGGATAATATGGGTATCAAAATAGGGGGACCCCAAGAACGGAGGCTTTCCTTTTGGCATTCCTTTTAGCCACCCCACAAAGGGCACCTCCAAAATTTACATTTGGGGAATGTAGAAAATATGGGGTTAGGGTGTAGGGTTTAAGTTATGCCACTTGTGGGTCAGCATTTGAATTCATTTACCCTTTGCTAACATGGTCCCGAAAATGAGGTTTTGAGCTGAATATTGACCAATCAACTGTCCTGAAGATTCCCTTGGTGTCCCATTTTGTTTGGGAGGGGTGTCCTTGCTAAAATCAGCCACAACACATTGCAACTGGTAAAGCGAAGGGCATGTTACTTTCGATGGGGAAGTGAAGGCTTCGCAACAGAGTCATACACATCAAAAATAATGCACCATGAGCTGCCATTTTGAAACAGGGCCAAGGAATGAAAGTAAGGCGGTCAAACTACAACTGCGTCAACATGGGATCGACCCCAGGATTCTTCACATTTGGTATCGGAGGTACCCTTTTGTAGGTGGGTTTAAAGGGAAACCAAAAGGTTTGACAGCTCACGTGCCCAGGTCATTGAAGAAACCGACTGCTTGAGGGTCTCCCTAGTTTCGGAAGAAAACCAGGGGGAGGGGAGGAGGGGAGAAGGGGAGAAGGGGAGAAGGGGAGAAGGGGAGAAGGGGAGCAGGGGAGCAGGGGAGCAGGGGAGAAGGGGAGCAGGGGAGAAGGGGAGAAGGGGAGCAGGGGAGAAGGGAAGGGGAGGAGAGGGGAGGGGAGGGCACCCGCAAAACGGGGCCGTGACCGTGATAGCACAGCTGGCGCAAGCTAATGGCTCACTTTGGAGGCACCTGGAAGCACGTCACGCGCATAGAAAGGAATATTCCCCCTCCCCGCCCCCCGCAGTTCAATCGAATTTGCTTCCCCCTAACGACCAAAACTCAGCCCGAAGCCGCCTTTCATCTTGCGAGCTTGCGTTATCCTGTCGCAGATTGACCTTGGCAGGTGAGAAGGGGGAGAACAGAAACATCCCTTTCCCAAAGCAACCCACCTTGGCCAGCATGTTCCTGGGTCTCCCAAAGTGAAAAACAAAACGAGGGGTTCTTAAACCTGGTTGTTATTGTTGAGGATGTCGCTTTCATGGACCCAGCATTGCCCCTTTCGCACTGAGCCACGTCCCCAGCCTTCTCTCAACGGGCTGAGGAGCGCTGCTGTGGAACTTGTCATGTGAGGACTTGGTCGGGCGGCCTAGCTGGGCAGGGGCTCTCGCCTTGCCAAGATTGAATTGAGTAGCGCCCAACCCTCTCCCCCGCTTAAAAACAAGGAGGTGGTTCGGTTCCTACCAGTCTACTGTTACTTGGGGGAGCACGAGTCGAATCTTGTCCGTGTGCCAGATTTTGTTTGGACAGCGAACCTCTCCACGTCGACACATCGACTCACTTTCCAAGATGTTGTTTGGGAAAACCATTTAGTGATGAACAAAGCTGCGATCTCTTTGGATATGACTTTACATGTTAAGGCTCACTGACCATCAGCCAGGCTTAAACATTGTTCTGAACATGTTTGGCAACATTTAAAGTTTAGACATGATTTGTCATTCTGCTTGGGAAGTAGATCAGCCCATGCTTAATCCTTATGCCAGATGGTAGTGGTTTCTCCCGCTGAAGCGGTTTACCCCCATTTTGACCAACTCAGTCAGATTGTGGGACTTCCAAAATGGGACCTTTAATTGAGTGACTGTTCAAAAGGTGAACAAGCTGGACCAATCTTTGTGCCGTGGTGAGACCCCTCCATGTTGAACAACCTGGGAACATCCAACATCGCACCGTTGAGTGGCTTCCCACCGGAAAAACTGATTGTGTTGCGCCCGCTTTTCAGGCCAGCTTCGTCACAGCGCTGGCAGAGCTTCTGGGTGATGCCCAGCTTCTGGCGGGGATCGATAAGTTGGACGGGTGAGTCGTACCCTGGACATTGCCTATTTCTGGGCGGGTGAGCAATGCGCCCCAGACGGCCGGGGAGACCTGACAATTGAACCAGAAGGTGATCGACCTTTTGCTGGGGGCTTGGAAGCAACCCCGTTATGGCATGCTCGCCAGGGCGTAAAGCAAGCGATTAGACAGGTTGTAGGTACTTGGGAGCAATGATCTCAAACTTGGGAAGGATTGTAAAACTTGCACATACAGACGGGTGGGTGTTCCCTAGAATTGAGACAACCTCCTTTTGGTTGGTTTTAGAGGGGGCTCAGAAAGCAGCATCCAAGCAAAACAGGGGGACCAAGGCAAACCAAATGGAACAGCGCATTTCAGGCCCAGTCAGGCAACCATGGCTGGTTTGAGGAACGGCTTCCCCGCAGCGTGTTTTCGTGAGCAACGTGTCAGGGGTCCGATCCAAAGCAGATGCCTTCGCAAATCGGTTCTGAGGCCCCAAAACACGAATCTTTGGGGGTGTACTTGGGTTGTGTCGAAACTGGGTCAACCCGAGCCATTGGCTTCACGAAATTTGATGTTGTCAAATCCCTTTCTGGCTTGTTCTCCGGACCAAGAGTCTTGCGGTACACTTTCACTTATTTGCAATGAGGGTGCAATCCTTGAACAATGGCAGCTTGGTAGGGAGCATCATGGAGCATCCCAAAGTTTTGGAGCGCGAAAATGCCTCTTTGTTCTGGGGCCCTGCCATGCCCACACGAGGACCACAAGCTGGAGTTGTTGTCAAGTCAATCGTCGCTAAGCTTCAATTGTGAAGATCCAAGGCTGTGCCTTGAGCAGGGTTGAAGCGAGGCACCAAAATGAATCAATCCGTACTTACATGGCCAAGCTGTGCTGCGTTTTGCGGCACTTCTCAGTCATTTCAGCTGGTTTGCTTTTGTGACCTCAAAGCTCGCCATACTTGAAGAGCGCATGATGGGTTGAACACACCGCCACTGTTGGAGGCTTCAACAGCCTTTGCACTGACATTGGAATCAGGCTTCCGCTATGATATGATGCACGCGTTAAAGGCGCACCTTGAAAGGAATGTTCTCAATTGGAAGAGTCCGGCCCGGCGTTTGGTTTGGGCGAGGAATAGAAGGCAAACCTGTTTGGAACTGCTCTGCCATTTGCTCAAGCACCATGACTTTGGCATGTTTTTGTTTCTGGTTCTCACCACTGGCCATTCTTTTCTCGCGTTTGTTCACAGGCCCCCCGGAGCCGCTTTCGGCTTCGCCGGGGCTTGCTAGCAGGCGCGATGGAGTGTCAGGGGCCAACGCTGGGTCCCCAATTTCAGCTCGTGTTGGCCTCAAAAAGGGACTCCTTTTTAGCAGACCCCAACAGTCAAAAGATATTACCGGGGCTCCAGATACTGAACTTGATGGAAGACTTCGAGCGGAAGAATCAACGCCTGGGGACCCAAGTTGCGTTGCCAGGTCCAGAGAGCCATCTCCGTGTCAGAGGGAAAGGCCCTGCTTTCCACTTTCAAAAGGTTGTTCTTTCTGTGGATGTCCCTTCAAAACCAAAGGGTGCCCTCAAAAAACAACGCCAGGTAAGCCCCACCTAGAAAGGGGGTGGTGCTTTTCGAGCAAAAGGCGCAGACAAACAGCCGCAAAAGCTAGCAAGCCAGAAAGACAACGAGCATACAAGCAAGCGAACAAGAAACAAGCAAGCCAGCAAACCAAAACCATCCAATCAACCACCCAACCAATCGACCCAACCCAACCAATCCACCCAACCCAACCTAACCCAACCCACCCAACCCAACCAACGCCATTTGTGCAACAGAAAAGCACGGAGTTTGCACAAGCCATGCAAACTAGGCAAATCATGGCCACCTTGCAAAGGAGAGTTGCAACTTCAGTTATAAGTCAAGGTTCCTGTCACAGGGATCCCTTTTTTGACTGGTGAGGTATTGTAATTTGTCTATACGCAGGGCATCCTTGATGCCCATCAAAGAAGCACACGTGGCGATACGTTTTGGCCAGACACGCAATCCTGCAGATGTGAAGCGCGGAAGATGCAGATTGGATTTTGGCACAGCTTAGCCTCGCAGAGATGACGTGGAAAGGCTAGTTGAATTTGCGACCCGGATCATGCATTTCGCTGCCTGCATTTCGACAAGCTCACTTGCAGCAGACCCTTTTCCACCTAGGCGCTAAATAAACCGTGATACGGGAACAGTGAGCGGCGTGCCAAGTATGTCACATAATGGCTCGGGTTGCCCTGGTCGAAGTGTTTCATCATCATCTACATTCATTATCATCATCATCGTCATCATCATCATCATCATCATCATCATCATCATCATTGTCATCCTCCATCACGCAGACGCACACGCACGCACACGCACACGCACGCACGCACGCACGCGCAAGCACACAAACACACAGACGCGGGCGCGCACGCTCACACGCGCACACACGCACACGCGCACACACACACGCACACCCACACACACACACACACACACACACACACACGCACCCACACACACACACACACACACACACACACGCACGCACACACACACACACACGGCAGCGGCTCAAAATTTCAAGAGCTAGGGTTACGCAGGTTTTGGTCCATGTTTCCACTTACCAGGGTTCCATTTTGGTACCGGGTTTTTGAGCCATGCCCACACACACACACGCACACACACACACACACACATGTACGCACACATACACACACACACAGAAACTCACACACACACACGCAGGCACACAGAAACTCTCACACACACACACACGCAGGCACACACACACACACACACACGCACCCACACACACACACATGCGCGCACGAAAGCACGCACACACACACACACACACACCCTCACACACACACACACACACACGCGCACACACACACACACACGCACACGCACACGCACACACACACACACACACACACACACACACACACCCACGCACGCACGCACGCACGCACGCACGCACGCACGCGCGCGCGCGCGCAAACACACGCGCAAGCGCACGCGCACACGCGCACGCGCACGCGCACGCGCACGCGCACGCACGCACGCACGCACGCACGCACGCACGCACGCACTCACACGCGCACACACACACGCAACACACACACACACACACACTCAAACGCGCACACACACACACACACACACACACACACACACACACACGTTTTCGCGCACGTACGGTACAGCTGAACATTCGAGGGGTAGTGAATGCATCATCCGTGAACGAGGAAGGTTCACACACGCACGCGTGCACGCACGCACACACGCACACCCACAAACACAAACACACACACACACACACACACACTCACACACACACACTCTTGCACGCATGTACGCATGTACGCATGCGCGCGCGCGCCCACAGACACAGCTTCACTGTCAAACAAGTTGGGGTTGCCACAAGGGAAGGGTTCACTAGACTTTCCATAGCTTGCGCTGCAAGGCCCGGAAGAGAGCGGAGCTTGCCTACAACTCACCAGCATTTGTCGCGTGTTCGCAAGATTCACTGGAAGCTTGATGTCACATTCGTTATATAGCACTGATGAATCAAGATTTGGGTATTTCCGCCCAAGTTCTCTTTCCGGAACCCCCAACACTGAGTTTTATTGATCACGTGCTGCTTGTTGACCCGCCAGGCCTTGGCAGCCTTGATGCAGAGCTCACAGGAGCGCCCTTGCCCAAGGGCTGGCAGAGGCGGGGCCTTTGGGAGGGAAGGCCAGTTTGACAAAAGGCAGAGGAGTGGAACCATCTCGAGTCACTTGATACTGCAGATTTACATGGAAAAAACTCCATTGAGGAATCTCCTTTGGCAGACCCTTGGGGGTTCCTTCCGTTAAATTCGAGTATCCAGAAGGGTGCCAGCGGCTTGGGTTGAATGGTCTTCTTTGCCTTGGAGTAGATGGGCATGTTAATTGCCCGTGGCAACAGCAATGGAAGCTGAACGACTAGCCATGACGTAGGCCTTTTTACTTGGAGACCTCAATTTCAGGTTGTGGAATTACGGTAGAATTTGCATATACATGGTTAAAGGCCATTTCCAAGCAAGATAAGCAAGCACGCAAGAAACTCAGCTAAAAGAACCAGGAACGAAAATTTCTGCAACCCCCAAATGAGCTCTTGCAAGCCGTTCATCGAGCCGTACCCACCGAAATACATTGCTTGCCCAGACCTTCTCTTAAGCATTAGTGTCTACATTTGTGTGTGTGTGTGTGTGCCTGTCGCTTGTCTCCCAGGTTTCCCTTCAAGCCACGAGGATATACATCCTCAAACTCAAAACAGGGGATGCCGTACCCATGTATCCCCTAAAAGGCGCTGGAAGAGGAGGAGCAGTCGCGCACGGACTTTCAATTCCATGGTTCCATGGTGGAACCTGGAACCTTTTCTGAGATCTCCATGTTCCCATCCCCAGAACGTCCGAACTTTTTTCCGGCGGGTGCCCTGCTTTGGATATCTTCTGAATGACTTGCTTTTTAGATGCACGTCTCAAGGTCTCAAACTGGGGTCTGTTTCCCTGCCTACCCCTTAGCCCTTGACGTCCATGTTAGTTCCCTGTTTCTTCTTTTTGAAGCATGAAGCCCATCCTCGTGAGAAGGCTGCAAACGTCCACTTCCATTTTGTTCAATATCAAAATGAATGTATGTTCAATATCAAGCAAAAAAAATAAGGAATGAGAATCAGAAGAAATTGCTTCCTACACGGCGCCTTTGGGTGTCTATTCGCTTTTCTTCAATGGATTTTGGTTTTCTAATGCAATGAGATCTTAGGCCCCTGGAAACGAGCCGCGGAGCTCCTCCGCCCTCCTCGGCCTTGCTGCCGCCCGGGCGCCTGGATCGGATTGGTCTGGGAAAAGTCTGGCGTTGCGCTCGCCCTGACATTTAACATGTGTTGCTCCCAAACCACTACCCCCCTAAGGGAAATTGGAGTAGGTCATCACTTCGATGCAATTCGTGATGCAACAAATCAGGACGAACTCAAGGGTTCAAAGGTTCGAAACCGCCCAGCTTGAAGGTTCTTTGCTGAGGGGGTTCTTTGAAAAGCGGTATTCTGGAAAAGTCACGCCCATATCCCTGTTCTTTCAGTCGCAGGAGTGTCCATTTCTGCACACCGCCACCTGAGCTGAGGCAAGCCGAAAGCCCCCCAAGCCGCACGTGACAGGTAGCATCTGCAGTTATTCATATTGATTTGCTTTCCAGACCTCAGGTCCTAGGTGATTTCCTTTCATCACTTGAATCAGCCACCCAAAAAGGTGCCCTCAGCTTGTTGTCGCTGTCATCCCATGCAAGCTGAAGATGTAGGAGATTCTCCTTTCCTTTTACCAAAAGCGTGCCCCGCAAGAACTGGCAACAAGGTGTTTCTGGATGTGTTGGATCCGTCCTTGACGTGAAAACAGATGTGACACTGGAAACGAGCCAACATGCATTCATCAAGATGCGGGAGTAGGGGATCTAGTGTTTCCACGGCAATGAATTTTGTCCTCTGTGCCTAGACAAGATGGTTGTTTCCGCAACGTTTGCTGGTTTCCTTGCTCAGAATTGGAACCCAGCATCAATGCATATCCCCCTGGCTGCTGCAATTGGTTCCCACAGGAACGTGTAAGGCTTGAGGGAAGTTGGGTTGGTTGCTGCTGGGACCCCGTTTCGTTGGCCCAGAGCCGAAATTTCAGGCACCTGAGAGCCATACTACTGTGTGCAAGTGGGGTTGGGTACCTACATGGGTTGCAGTGAACATTTCCCCAAAACAAAATGTTGCTCAACTGTGAAACCGCTCTAAACCACAAGAAGCCCAAGGTCCCATTGTGGAAGCCCCTTTTAAGGCTACTTCCTGGCACCTCAACGACTGGACACTCGGCCCAGGCTTGCATCTGCGACCTTGTGGCTCTCGTGTTGCTGCCGCGTTTTGAGAGCCGGGGAAAGCAGAGCTGTGGGTGCATTCTGGAGTTTCTGAAAATTACTTTGAGGTGTCGAAGAGCCGCCATGGCAACCACGCTGACAAGTTCACTTTGCTGTTCGCGGTTGTGTTTCTTGTTTATGTTGCCAGCTTTGCGGGGGCACGCCAAGGGGTGGGAAGCTACATAATGCTCTTTGGCACGCCCTGGGCTCAGAAAAATCGCATTGCCACGTCTTGCAGACAGCTTTGTGGCAGACGCATTACTCGCTTGGATGTCCGATTCCCGTGTCACGAAGCCCGAGGCCTGCGCTCAGAAACAACAAGACCAGGAAATGAGAAGACCACAAGGTGTTTTTGGCTCCGCAGACATCCGTTGTTCAACAGTGTTCTCAAAAGGTATACCCCTTGTTCGTACCCTTGGCTTGCCTTGTTACCAACCAAGATTATAGGGGCATATGTCAAGATGTCCTTTTGAGGCAGCAACCTGTTGGTGTTATTTGCCCTTGGCGTATGTACAAACACCCCTAGATGTTCACCACGTCGCCAGGCGAGAAGGGTCCACGCAGGCTGGGATGAGCTCCACGCTTTGCCCAGCTCAGTTCGGCGAAACTTTTTCCAGGGGTCCCCGTATTCCATGATATCCCCTTTTTGTTTGATTCAAGCCTTCTGGCCGCTTAAGGTGAGTTTCCGTTGGGAAGGGTGATGGTTTAGGATGTTTTAAGAGGATATGTAGGGAACCCTTATGTTGAACTGGGCTCTTAGTTTCCTTTGCAGCTGTTCGGGGAAGCCAAAAGGGGCTGGATGTCTTTCTAAGTTAGCACGAGCTATCAAGATCCCTGGATGCGGTTTCCGGTATTTGGAGGTTCGGGTCCCAACCAAAAACCGGCTTTGCGTCCAAATGGGCGTTTCTCAAAATTAAGTTGCCCTCCAGCCGGTTGGTTTCGGTTTCCTGTTGGAGTCCCTTTCAAACATGTAATTGTTCTGGTATGGGTTTTGGTTTCTTTGCCACAGCCACCCCATGATGCGGCCAGGTGTGCGCAAAGCTGGGGATCCCTGCGGGAGCTCCAAGCGTGGGAGGGTTTGCCCAAATTGGTTTTTGGGTTGCAGGCTGGTCCCCACGGTTCGCCGTGATCCCATACAGTTTGTGGTCTGTGGATAGACAACATCCTGTACCTGGGCGGGGGGCCTAGCAAAGGCAGCTTCGGGAATTTGAGGAGCGGTCATCTCCTGACATGCCTTGGGTGTTTGGCCTTGATATCAAGCATCTATGGCCTTGTTATTCTGATGGTGCCTTGGTGGCCAGCGGAAATTTGATGTTCCAGTTTAGACCGGTAAAAACCCAATGTGCCTTGGTGTTCCCCATGTTGAGAAATACCCCCGATTCACACGCACACAGATGGTCTATGGACGTCTATGGTAGTCTATAGTCCCATCGGGCAGGACGCGGACAACTCTCGAAATAAACCCTTTGTAGTAAATTGTAATGTTGGATGTTGCTCAGTTAGGTCCGTATATCGTGTAGGGTGCGAAAGCCACTTCCGGTCCTGTTTTGAGAATCCCCAAAGACACGGAAAGTCTTTGATCCATGTGTGATGATGATGCATGAAAATCACAGGTGGTCCTTCTGAATTGCATCAGGCAACCGGATGGATAGGAAATGATTGCAATGCCCTGTAAGCGGTCTGAGGGCTGTATTGAGATCTGTATTCAAATCTTGCAGGGGCTTCAAAAACCGGGCCCCACATGTTTGTTTGATCATCCTCAAAAACTGGTAGTCAGATTGCTTCCCACTCGGGCACCATTGAAGTCCCATGTTCAAGGGTACATTGGCTCTCCCAAGCTTTAACAGTCTTGGAATGCGGCTGGGGCGAGTTTGTCCAGCATCCTCTATTCCGGAGGGTGTTTCTGTTGTTTTTTTCCGTTGACACACTGGAATCAACCGAGCTCTTGCCCCCATCAGAGAACTGGTACGAGCGCATGAAAGATCCATATCTTATCGTCTCTATGTTACTTGAATTTGCTTGTTTATGTTCAGCTTTTGGCTGCCTGTAGCTGCACGCAAGCAGTTATGTTTGCGTAGGAACATAGCAGCTGCCCGGTTGTTCAATTGGGTAGTGGCATTTTGATATTTTTCTCGTTCCGCTGAACTGGAAACCCAGAAGAGGGTTCCATGGTCCCATGGAACAATGTCCTGCCACCATTTCGCGCCCTTTACAAGGGATGCAACAAGGGCTAACTTTGACAACCCACACACCCGTCTTTCTGGGGCCGAGGCGCAGAAAGTCAAGGATCTCGCCTATGCCTGGAGCAGGGGGCCCCATATGCCCGGCAAGCGCTAGTGGATGGCGACCCAGCAAATAGCTTGGGATGTTTCCTGGGGCCTGTTGGGATGGTGTTGGAATCTGAAAGCAATAAACGAACATTGGGAACAGCCATATCAAGCAGACAAACTGTTCAATGAACTCGCCCAATACGACATCAGCTTTTGCAAACGGAGCTGTCAACTGCCTGTCGCACAGGATTCCTAGCTGTCTCATGAAAGGTTGCCTTTGCGAATGTGAAGCTCCCAGACAGTTCTTGAAGACACTTGACATCATCGGTTCTAAGAAGGGAGCGACAAATTGAACATGTTTGGGTAAGCACGTGTTCAAAACGTGGCTCTTTGCAGGCTGGACTCGGCAGCGTATGCTAAGGTGGTGTGCGCTATAGGTGATTTGCCCAAAGTTGGCGCAATAACACCAATGTAGCCTTTGAGTGATAGATTTAAAATTGACATTTGAACAATATGTTTATACACAGGACTTTCTAAATTTTGAGATTAATTGATATAAAATGATTTAAATATATGTAATATATGTAATATACAATATATATATATATAATATATTTATAAAATAAATTATATATAATTGATTTTTAATACTTTTGGGAGGAGAAAATGAAAAGAAAATTGAGGAAATTATTGAATTAGGATATATTGGATTATTTGGAAATTTTATATTTAATATATTTATGCAATGATATTTTCTTATTTGATGGTATGGTTTTGAGGTCGTTTTTTTTGTGTATTGCTCAGCCGTTGTAGCGGTATTTCGGTCGAATTATACGGATTCGCAGTATAAGCTTACGTTTTTTCGCACGGTTCGGACGGCTCCGAAATTTCGAGGGTTTTGAAGATTGCTTAGAGTTTTTGTGGCGTATGCTTTCGGCGATATGATTTGGATATTATTCTCGTAAAGTTTTGCCGAATTTGATGAATTGTTTAAAGGATTAATAGGGGGGCAATTTGGAAAAATTTGGCGTTGGGTGTCTATATATTTTTGTTTCTCTCTTTGTGTTTAGCAATTTGTTTTTGTGTTGGTGTTTGTGTTTGTTTCTTTGTCTCTATTCGTTTGTTTGTTTGTCTCTCTCTCTCTTCATTTAGGTTGTTTTGGTTCGTTTCTGTTTGTCTTTATGTGTTCGTGTTTGTCGTTTATCTCTATTTTTTTGAGTCTTTTTGTGTTTCTTTGTTTATTTCCGTGTGTCCGTGTTTGTTTATTTGGGTAATGTCTGTCTATATTTGTCTTTGTCTTTATCTTCTTGTTTGTTTGTGTTTGTTTCTGCGAATCGGTTTATGGCATATTTCCACGTTGTTATATGCCATATTTCCCTCTTTTAAGCATTGCAATTTTGTGTTTATTCTGTTTTGTTTTTGTTTTTGAACATTGCTATTATTGGTCTTGCTTGCTTGCCTACTTGTTTGCCTCCCTATTTCTTTCTTTCTTTCTCTTTTTTTTTTCTCTTTCTCTCTTTTGTTTTTTCTTTGTCTCTCTCTCTCTCTCTCTTTTTTTCTCTTTTTCTCTGTATTTCTTTTTATCTCTCTCTTTTTCTCTGTAATTCTTTTTATCTCTCTCTTTTTCTCTTTTTCTCTTTATTTCTTGTTCTCTCTCTCTTCTCTTTTTTGTTCTCTCTCTTGTTTTCTTTCTCTCTCTTTTTCTCTTTCTCTCTCTCCCTCTTTTTCTCTTTGAGAGAGAGAAAGAGAAAGAGAGAGGTCTTTCTCTTTTTTTTCTCTCATTTTTTTTTCCTCTTTCCCTGATGTCGTTTTATCGCCCACAAAATGAGGGATAGTTTGCCTAGGTCTTGTTGGGGCATCGGCTGGTTTTTCCCGGGGTCGAAAGCACTTTTGGGGAACTATTGCCTCCACCTCGGGCATCTTTGCTAGCAGCAATTCTTCCTGCCATGAGTTTCTCTCTCTCTCTTTCTCTCTTTCTCTCTTTCTCTTTTTCTCTTTTTCTCTTTTTCTCTTTTTCTCTTTTTCTCTTTTTCTCTTTTTCTCTTTTTCTCTTTTTCTCTTTTTCTCTTTTTCTCTTTTTCTCTTTTTCTTTTTCTCTTTCGTATTTCTCTTTTTCTCTTTTTTCCTTTCTCTCTATTTGTGTTTATTGTTTTTCTCTATTTTGGTGTTTGTGTTTTGTTCCCTTTGTTTTTTCCTTAATTTGTTTTTTTTCTTTGTTTTTTTTGTTCTCTTTTATTTTTTTCTCTTTCTCTTTCTTTCTTTCCCTTTCCTCTTTGATTTTTTTGTTAGTATCGTCGTTGGTGGAATTAACCGGGTCTTTTTAATATATTATAAATATAACAATATAATTTAATATATATAATAAAATATTGTAAGATATATATATATATATACTATTCTATATATTTATATAATTTGGTAAACACAAAATAATAATTAAAATATATGGGAAATTGTAAATTGGATTGAAATATATATATATATATTATATATATAAATGATATATATTTAGGGAATAATAATTATAAATTATTTCTTATAATATATTATATATAATAATATATATTATTTAATCAAAGGAAGTTTAACAAGAAACTTCCGTAGTACTGGAACTACCGGACTGTGCGCAAACCACCTCGGCTGCGACGCCTGTACGGAGGCGGTCTCGGAACGGTCTCGGAACGGTCTCGGAACGGTCTCGGAGACGGGCCCATTGGCACGGCCGCGCGAAGGTTTCGCAAGGTTTGAATTGCGTGGCAGGCGCAGCACTTTCGCAAGGTCAAGTAGATTTCGTGGCAGGCGCAGCACTTTCGCAAGGTCAAGTATAGATTTCGTGGCAGGCGCAGCACTTTCGCAAGGTCAAGTATCGATTTCGTGGCAGGCGCAGCACTTTCGCAAGGTCAAGTACAAAATTCGTGGCAGGCGCATCACTTTCGCAAGGTCAAGTACAGAATTTGTGGCAGGTGCAGCACTTTCGCAAGGTCAAGTGCAAAATTCGTGGCACGCGCAGCACTTTCGCAAGGTCAAGTACAGATTTTGTGGCAGGCGCAGCACTTTAGCAAGGTCAAGCACAGATTTGGTGGCAGGCGCAGCATTTTTGCAAGGTCAACTTTCGCAGCCGGGGCTCGAAAATCGCAACTTTTAAGTACGAAAGTAGTACGCGAAGTCAACTTTCGCAGCTGGGGCTTGAAAATCGCAACTTTTAAGTACGAAAGTAGTGCGCAAAGTCCACTTTCGCAGCCGGGGCTTGAAAATCGCAACTTTTAAGTACGAAAGTAGTACGCAAAGTCCACTTTCGCAGCTGGGGCTCGAAAATCGCGACTTTTTAGTACGAAAGTAGTACGCGAAGTCCACTTTCGTAGCTGGGGCTCGAAAATCGCAACTTTTAACTACGAAAGTAGTACGTGAAGTCCAGTTTCGCAGCTGGGGCTCGAAAATCGCAACTTTTAAGTACGAAAGTAGTACGCGAAGTCAACTTTCGGGGATTGAACATCGCAACTTTTAAGTGCAGAGAAAGATGGGTAGATAGATAGATCAATAAACAGATATAGAGATAGCTAGAGAAATAGATAGAAAGAGATAGAGAAACAGAGATAGACAGAGATAGATAGATTTGTAGATAGATAGACAAATAACTAGCTAGATAGATAAAGAGATAGAGAGATAAATAAATAGAGAGGTAGATAGATAGATAGGAGATAGAGAGGTAGATAGATAGGTAGATCTATAGATAAATCGCAACTTTTAAGTACGAAAGTAGTACGCGAAGTCAACTTTCGCAGCTGGGGCTTGAAAATCGCAACTTTTAAGTACGAAAGTAGTGCGCAAAGTCCACTTTCGCAGCCGGGGCTTGAAAATCGCAACTTTTAAGTACGAAAGTAGTACGCAAAGTCCACTTTCGCAGCTGGGGCTCGAAAATCGCGACTTTTTAGTACCAAAGTAGTACGCGAAGTCCACTTTCGTAGCTGGGGCTCGAAAATCGCAACTTTTAATTACGAAAGTAGTACGTGAAGTCCAGTTTCGCAGCTGGGGCTCGAAAATCGCAACTTTTAAGTACGAAAGTAGTACGCGAAGTCAACTTTCGGGGATTGAACATCGCAACTTTTAAGTGCAGAGAAAGATGGGTAGATAGATAGATCAATAAACAGATATAGAGATAGCTAGAGAGATAGATAGAAAGAGAGAGAAAGAGACAGAGAAACAGAAAGAGAAAGAGAAAGAGAGAAAGAGAGAAAAAGAGAGAGAGAGAGAGAGAGCGAAGCAAGGGGCCAAGGACAGTTCTCCAAACTATAGTTGTTCACTGCTTTGAAACTTCCGCCCCCCGGCTCTGCCGGACCTTACTTATAATATATATTATTTAATTAAATATATATATATATATATTAATATATTTATAACAAATATAACTAGATTGTTTTTTGTTTCGAGTACTGTTTATCCTTTTCACGTGCTTAAAATTATGATAATTCTTCCGTATTTTAAAGATTTCGATTCCAAATTTTTATCGGTTTGTTCTTAATGATATTTGCCGCGCAAGAATGGCAAAGTATTGTTTTAAACTCTTTTCGATTTTATTGGCGAGTAATAATTACTTGTATATATCCGATCATGGAGGCAAGATATTAGGAGTATATATCTATAGAAGTCTCTGCTAGCTTAGTATATTATTGTAGGTCACAAAAACCGCTTGTTTATGGCTTCGATGCGCAAGATTGTGTAATCACCAAAGTCAGCCCTTTGCGCCAGGTCAAAAGCACGGAATGTTACAAATACATGTTTATATTATGGCTCGCCATCTGTGGGAGTTATAAAAGCTAGTAGTGTGCGCCCTGCAACTCGAGCTCAGGGCATGTTTCGCTGGTCATTACCTGGATTCTGTATTGGATAACAAGAAGAACGGTGCGAAATTCGTTCACAGAGTTTAGGGACGCTGCATAAACGTATAAAGATTAGCCTTATAGTAATTATTTTGGTTACCGCTAAATTTAATTTATAGGAATGTTAATTCTTAACAAGAAGCAGTATTTAGGACTTTGTTTTGGGCATAAAGGTTATTGCTAGATAAATTTTGCATTGATAATTTTATCCACCTGTTTGCGTGTTAAATTCCACTTGTTTGCAAGCCGATTTCGAGGATTCAATTATCGGTTTTGTTAACAGCCGAGCCCTTTCCAAAAAGAAATCCGACAGGAGATTAAATAAAATTGTTTATTCATAACCCAGCCCAACGCAAAAATATTACCCTTTCCGAGCCCAAAATACACTTAAAATACGAAGATACCAATAAGAAATATAAACCCAACTATGCATCGGGCGGGACATTCAGCAAAATTAGATTGTGGCAAGTTATTTTAATGGGATATTCGGCGGGATCCACTTGCGGGCGGGATATTCGGCGGAATCCATACTCTAATCCACTGGCGAGCCGCTTTGGCGGGATATTCGGTGGAATCCATTATTGAGCTATTTGGATTGATTGACGGGCTACTCTAA